TGACGCTTTATAGTGTGTGTGTGTGTGTGTGTGTGTGTGTGTTATAGCTTTCTATAGAGTGTGTCTATGTGAAGCTTTATATAGTTGTATGTATGTATGGCTTTATATTATGCGTATATGAAGCTTTCTATAGTGTGTCTGTGAATCTTTAGAATGTATGTATTTATAGCTTTAGACCTTGTATGTGAAGCTTTATACACTGAGTGGCCAGATTAGTAGGACCAACCCATCAGTACTTCGTTGGGCCACGTAATGCGAGGAATCTGACACAGCGCTGTTGCCCTTCTGTTGTCTTGTACCAGTCTTGCCCCTCCCCCGTTCTGCCCTAACATTGACTAGTCGCTGACGGCCACAATTCGCACGTTCAGACCCAGATTTTCGGCTGACAGTCCGGTCTTTAAACACTTTAACAACAGCTGCTCTTCAACATTTAACGAATTCTGCTGTTTTGCTGATACTCGCTCCATGGCTCCGAGCGCCAACAATCATCCCACGTTCAAAGGCTGTTAAATCGCATTGTTTCCTCGTATCTTCAGAAACAAGTCCCTTCTACTGTCGTGGTAACCAACCCGCTCCCCTATTTATAATGGTCTGGCCCTCTAGCAACTTCAGCGCCAAATTATAGCTAATTTGCCTACAAACGTCAGGTGGTCATAATAATCTGGCCACTCAGTGTATAGTATGTATGTATGTATGTCTTTGTATATTGCATGTATGTAAAGCTTTCTATAGTGTGTGTGTGTGGCTTTCTATAGAGTGTGTAATGTGAATCTTTATATTGTGGGTATGAGTGAAGCTTTTATAGTGCATGTCTTTACATTTGGTATGTATGCGAAGCATATAGTGTGTGTGTGTGTGAATCTTTTAATTGTGGGTATGTGTGACGCTTTATATAGTATGTATGTATAGCTTTCTATAATGTGTGTGCGTGTGTATAAATCTGAGATACAACATATAGATATAGGAATCTAAGCCTTTCCAGACTCGGCTGCCAAGCTCTTGTGTGCTGAGTGAATTGTTCCTCTTCCATGGAGGAGGAGCATCAATTGGTTGCCAGCATGTCAGAAAATCACCACCGTGCTTCATAGTGAGTGCTTTGGACGCTCAGAAGTAGAGCTGCAGCTAACGATTATTTTCAAAATCGATTAGTTAGCCGATTATTAAGTTTGATTAATCGGTTAATCGGATAGAAAATAAAATACATTTTTAAAAATGGCTCCGGTGATGGGACTACTAGTTTGTATTGAGATTGCAGTCCATCACAGGAGCAAGCTTGGAGCGGTGGAAGTAAAAAAGAAAAAAAAGATAGTGTGGTGTGCAATATAGTGAAATGAAAAGTGTAAAATTATATAGCAATGAATGCAGAATGGCACCGACTATAGAGGACTACAAAGCCCAGCAATAATACATTATACAGCGCAATGCAGAATACCGCCAGCTATAGAGGAATACAACAAATCCCAGCAATAGTACATTATAGCTGGTGGTATTCTGCATTGCGCTGTATAATGTACTATTGCTGGGTGTTGTAGTCCTCTAAAGCTGGTGGAATTCCGCATTGCGCTCTATAATGTACTATTGTTGGGTTTTGTAGTCCTCTATACAGCGCAATGCAGAATACCACCAGCTATATAGGAATACAACAAATCCCAGCAATACATTATACATACAGTGTATAATGTATTGCTGGGATTTGTAGTCCTCTATAGCTGATGGTACATTGGTCTGTATAATATACAGCACAATGTACCATCAACTATAGAGGAATACAAATCCCACTATCCCAGCCATAGATTATAGAGCACCATGTGGGGAAAGTGCAGGCTTACCTGAGCAGTCTTCCAGCAACCTGTTTCTGAGATGGGGCCTGTCTATCGGCGGCTGTCATCCACCCACACCTGCTCCTCCTTACTTCTTCTCCCTGCGTCCCTGTGCCGACCGTGGATTTGGGCGGGCAGTGAGTGTGAGGTGTGGCGTGTGGAGCATGGATGCGGGCGGGTCTGAGGTGGGGAGGAGGTGTGGCGCGCAGCGTGTGTGGAGCCGTGAACAGGGGCAACCAATCGGAAGCCGATTAATCGATGATTGAAATAGTTGACAACTTTTTCAATAATCGATTATAATCGATTATGTCGATTAGTTGTTGCAGCCCTACTCAGAAGGTTTTCATTATTGCGCTGGGGTCCCCTAGATGGTCCATTCGGCACAATAAATGCTGCGTTGGTTGCTTCTATTGGGCCTCTGGCGGCCACGATTAGTCCCAGAAGAAAAGTCAGCTGCGGTTCTTCGGCTGCGGCGGCCAGATGTATCGCACATGGCTGCTAACATTATAAAATGACTTTCGGGGACAGTTTGCTGTGGAAACTGTATGTGAGCTGGTCATTCTGAAGAGCACCTGTCAGTAGCTTCTGACCGCTACTGCTGCTCTCTCTTTGTGCAGGGTGACTGGTCTCGTCCCTGCCCCCTCCTGTTATAAAACAAATGACAAACGCACTCAACAATTTGTCACCAGTTATACAGTAAGGTGCACACGAAATGGGCTTTGAACAGTAAAACAGTAGAAAGTTATCATGGCACACTCACAAGCCAGCATGTAAAACAACTTGTCTCACCACTAAGGACAATAACAGAGGTTTGGATACACGTCTTCTGCAGAGGATGTGAAAGCTGCACTGCCGCGCCAAGGCACCTTTGGTGACAAATTGTTGAGTGTTTTTGTCGTTTGTTTTGCTTGACCGATTTGGTGCAGCGACGCATGGGGTTTCTCAGCTGCCAATGGGATGTGCGGGATCCCTTGTGTGTTTCTGTGCTTTTAAGGAGGCTGGGCGTCCTCCTGACAAACCTGCACCCAATTTGAAATCTTCTGCCCCCATGTGCTCCAAGATGGAGACTCTCATAGTTTAGAGTTAGGACCGCACTATAAGAGGTGCCTTGGCGCGGCAGTGCAGCTTTCACATCCTCTGCAGAAGACGTGTATCCAAACCTCTGTTATTGTCCTTAGTGGTGAGACAAGTTGTTTTACATGCTGGCTTGTGAGGGGGCCATGATACCTTTCTACTGTTCTCCTGTTATAAAGACCGGTCACTGCTGCTCTCTCTCCTTGTGCAGGGTGAATGGTCTGGTCTCCGCCCCCTCCTGTAATTTCTGCATGCAGGCCTGTATGTATTTTGAATGTGTATTAGTGGTCCCTCTTGAGATTAATTTATGTTTCATCATAAGGCGGCCTGGAGTTCTATTTAGTCTAGGTGGAAGAAAAGACCTTCAACTTTCGTATTCCCAGAAACACTTGTAGTTGTGGTTCAGATGATGGAAAAACAAAACCTTTAAAAGGAGAACTATGAGGCGAGTAAAAATCACTCAGCCTCATCGTTCTAGCCGACCTGTGACAATTAAACTGTCACAGGTCGGCTCAATAGATCGGGAAGTGAGCGAACACATACTGTCGCTCGCTCACTCCTCCATCCTGTCCCCGCAGAGAGCCGTGAATGTCACTCATGGCTCCCTGCAGGGATTCCCTCCTCCCCTGTCCGATCCTCCAGCGCTGACTGGTGGAACGGATG